CAATCTTTGACAAAAATGGTGTCTGTGAAGACATGCCAAGATTTTGCAAATCTTTTTGTGAAATATTTGACACAGGTTACTTTAGCTTATAATAAGATTCACTTGGTATTTGATTTGATTTTTAGAAGATGTGTCAATAAAACAACATACGTGTGAAAAACGAAATCCAAAGGACTGTAGTTATGACCATATTATCGATACCAACATGATTCAGCACAACATTAAGGGGATATATTCCGGTACCGGCATCACTGATCCACCAGAATCATGAATGTTATGGGAAAATTTGCTCGCAAGTCAAAGGCTGTTTTAAAGGATTCATCAATTGTGATAATCCAATAATAAACGGTTTCAAATGATAAGAAGAATCAAATCAACCGCACGAGACAATTTTTTTGGCCTTTAAGAGTATGTGTGCTCGCTATACAGAATAATCAAAAATTTAACTCTTATATCAGAAGAACAAATTATTTGTCTTTGTCTATAAAAAAATTTCAGAATTTACTATCACCTGAAACTTCAGGATAGGTGAAATAAGGTACAGTTACTGGCTCCAGAATGTTTATTCAAAACTTACTGTAAAAAGGGATATTCTGGTAACTGCGGTTGCGGAAAAAATAGGCTTTCTTGCACGGAATGGTGTACGTGTAAATGTAAAAATATCTATGACCAAAACTATTCCTCTATTGATCATGGCACCACGAGTAAGTATAATTTTTATTATTATTGTACCACATTTCATACGAGGATTGTCTTTTGTTACTTTTCGAATTAAACTTATTTGTATGCAATTCTTTTAATTACAATTAGCTGGTGGTTGTACCCACTGACTGGTAACTCAGTTAGCAGGTCGTGAATAAGGGCTTAGATTTATCTGAGTTCTCACCAAAATCTAGGCTGGGCGCCAGGACTTTTGTAAGTACCAAAAAAGTTTACTTTAATCGATAAAGATAACGTTTTTCCTTGAATTCAGTTGGGAAGGAAGTCGAATAAAAAGATATTATTAAATAAAAAGTATAATAAACTGGTAAGAATATGTACAAAAATTTACATAGGCTAAGATGGCCTCTTTTTAGTTAAAAAAAAAACTAGTTGGGATTGACGACCAAAAAATTAACAAAAAAAAAAAAAAAGATCTGACGTTATTTAAAAAAAAGGTGACTAATCTCTTACAAAAATGCTTCTGACCAAATATAAACTTTCACTGGGGACTGAATGTGTTCGGTGTCAGTTTGAATCACCACTGTCAGTACTGCAGTTACCCTTGAGACGAAATGCCAGTTGTACAAAATATCGTTTTCCTGCTCCACCCAGTATATAATGATCAGTTTGATCCACCAGTTATCTATCCTCTTCTCTTGGTCTAGGTATTTACATAAAAAGAGGAGAGTTTTATGAGATCAGTACTATAGGCAAAACAAGGTAAAAAGCTATGACGTTTGAATTGTCCTGCTACGTAGACAAAATATGAGAGTTAACACAAATTTACAGGGTAAATTGCAAACTGAACAAACTAGAAATGGTATCTCACAATATTTTAGGAAGTTGAAGACCTCAACTAACTTAAGTATCAATAAAGGTTACGTTAAATAGAAAAAATATTAGTCCAACAAATAAACTAGGTATAGCTATGATAATAAACAAGTGAAATAGGTATTCACTATATTTTAAGATATTTTTTACTAAAAGAAGGTAATCTTCAAGAAAATAGAATTTAAAATGTCTGTATACAGACAGACAAATAGCAAGATAACGGAAATAAATATTTGCTAAATATAAAACAATATGATAATTATTGTCAAATTAAAGGTACCGTTAAATTATTTATTCGTTCCTCGTAAAGAGGTATAAATTTTACCAGACCGCTGAACTACAGGTGTTGTCTTCAGAACGCTACACGAGTAAGAAGGAAGTAGCACCGTCGTGTTCTGCTACCTAAACTCGATTATAGTTTAGAAAGAGATAAACATTTGAGAGTACAGTATGAGCAATAAAGACAAATAGATATTTAAGCATATTTTATAAGTGCAAAAAATCTACCAAACCAATTTTTCTAGTAGAAATCAGTCATCTGGACTAGACTGGCAGAAACAATTCTTCACGGAAAACGACAAACTGGAATGAAATGGTTTGCCATTTCGTTACAATGTTTTTATACAATTAATATCAAACTGACCTGAAAATATGTGCAAAAAAAAAGAAAAACCTAAAAATTATTCGTAACGACCATGTGTCATTTTGAAATGACCCTACAATTATTATTAGGCACTTCCCAGGATGAAACCAAGCCAAAACCAATCCTTGAACCATTTTTGAAATATTTGACACTTTTCGCATTTAACAAATTCATTTGACACGGAATGCAACTTCCGACTTGATTAATATAAGAGCATCTAATTACACCGGTTATTTGATAGTTAAATATAGGCATTCTCTTTCTCACGCAGGATGAAAAAGACATTTTTACCAACAGATAAAAAAATCGGAATTTCAATGACATTTTGTATTGCATCAGTGTTCGATACCGCATATGCCTTGATATAGTGGTTTCGATTTTTGGTGAGAACTAAAAAAAAAAAAAAATAGAAACAAAAATTTGATGCCAATTTTGGGTCTTTTTTTTTGGTACACGATGGCAACAGGAAATATAATCATTTGCTAGCACTGTTAGAGATCTACATTTTGCACAGAATAAATTTTCAATAAACAAAATCGAACAAAACGAATGTTTACACTTACATATCCCGTTTGATGTAATTTAACACAGTGAACTACGTATTTTAGACAATGCAAGTGATAAAAACATCTTGAAACAAACTTTGGTTTACATGGGAAATGTCTGAAGTAGTTTAATATTGTGCTCCTTCCAACGATTTCAGAAGAGTTTCGTGCCCTAATAAATGATGTGATCATGGAAAGTACAGGCTCTCACAGTTAATGACCTTCATATCTAATTAACTTATATTTTAGCAAAGTTATTCCAAAGTTCAATAATGGGAAGTATAATATAAATATAAATTGAGGTTTGTTTGTTGTTTGTTGCTGCCTGTTTAAATAAATAAAAGAAAAAATCCAATTCTAACCAGACGATTGATTTTCCTTTTATCATTATTTCATTAATTAGCATAAAGGATAATAACTTTATGTATGTCAAATTATAAAATATTAGCTTATTAACAAATCTTTTATGTTTGGAAAACAAAATTAGTTTTGTGAGAGTTTGTAACATTTTTTGACAATCTTGAGAAAAATTCAATAAGATAGGATAGGAAGACAATTTGCATGAGATCCCTAGCAAGAAGATTGAAAAAGGATTACCGAATTCAAAAAAATTGTAGTCTACTAGGATTCAATTTAAACTGAAGGTTTCACTGACCACAATTTTAATATCAATTGGTTATTCAAATAAATTGGGATCAAAACTCAAACCACTTGCGTGGAAGGCCAGTCAGATTCCTCAACAATTAAGTTGAGTTCTGACAGGCAACTGCAGACTTAGGAAGTCATTATATACCCAGGAAGTGGGAATGATAAAGAAACGTCTTAACACTTCCTAGGGCAGTGTTAAGCGTTCGGGCGCCTGATGCATAGCATCCTTGGTACTGAAGTGCTTCTAAGGGAGCAGATGATCTCTGCTCTAAGTGACATCCTGACTTTCATTAGAAGATCGGAAAGGAATGATTCGATGGGGGAGTAAGAGAAGTACATGACTAAGGGGACAGCTGAGGGGTAGATAAAAAAGAGCCCGCCTGTAGCCCACTTATCAGGCATCAGCCTCCCCCACCATTACCATCACCCTTTTGAAACTTATTTAAATGTTTATAACAATGAAATTACTTTTGAATACTATGTCAAATGAAAATCATGGAGAAATATGTAGATTTCACCAAATATTCGATTAAGACAGATCAGTAACAAGGATAGTTAAAACTACTAAATTTTATTAAAGATAAATCAATTTGTATTTATTTTGATTTCGTATTTAATTGTCGATTTATGCTTATATTTACAAATGCTGTTCACAAAGTATAAATATTTTCTTTGTATACAGATTTTCATTACTAGTTTATTTTAAGACCAATATTTAGATTAAATAAATAACGTAATCTGTAAGATGCTTGAATTGAACCATCAAGAAACGCAATAAATTCGTTTTTGGTAGACTTGCTATATTTAACTGCAATAGGAAATCCAGTGAAGCATAATAAAACATCCTGGGAATGAAAGAGAAATAGAATAGGAAAAGTAATATAAAACATTCGCCATTCGCTACAGAACGGACCACATTCTTACCGTACGAAACTTCAATATCCATCACTCCATCTCAATAATGTTAACCTAATCCTTGTTCAACACTGCTGACGAGAATTGCAGTTACTGGATGTTGATACGCACAAAATTTATAGCCGCAGAGTTACACATTTATTGTGTGGTTTTGTTAGAATTTTCGTGCAATCACTCCCAAAGGTGTACCAATTTATATTGATACACGATACAATCGAAGAACGTTGGGTAAAATATCTACACACATTTTAAGTCCCACTCGGCTGAAAAGAGAATAAACAAATTCAGACGAATTCTCTGATCATCTGCGAGATATTGAAACGGTTTCGTAACTATGCTTTATATGAATACATATTCCATTGACAAGTAAGCAATAAATTGACACTAATTTTTTTAAAATTATTTATTTAGCGTCGACCTATTTCCGCTACCAAGACCAACCACCGACGCTAGGAGATAAGCTCATCTGCGCTTGTGTATGCACTGGCACCTTTAACATGGGAATTTTCGACAAACCAAAACGTTGCAGTGGGATAGGGAACTATAACATGTTCACATCGCGATACACGGAACCTACAGTTTTGTATCCCTTTCGAAAGATGGCGACGAGAGCAGATCCACTCATTCACTGTACCCCATCGACGTGGTCCTGCCCGGGCGGTTTGGATGCAAACGCGCGCCATTGTCATTCACACCACGAAAACGATATAAAAACCGGCTGGGTGGTGTAGTCGGTTAGAGCGCGTGATGGCAAGTGTGACTAAAAATCTTTCTCCTTTAGCTGCGAGTTCGAATCCCGCCGCCGCCGGCCAAGGTAATGTCGGTAGGAATGGTTGTATGTCAAGGTTTTTCTAAGTGTAACACCGTTCTGGACAGCCTCAGCTTTGGATTTCGGGGGTTGTCTACATTCTGTGGTGTTTATTAGTATTATTATAACATTTAAGTTAAGTTGTAATGAAATGGATTTCGGTATAAAAATTTAGTTTTGGAGCAAAAAGTGTATGTTCGCTTTATAACCAACAAGAACCGTCAATTCAGTTGACGGACTTGTAAAAATCGTTGGGCACTTTACCCTTTTATCTTGGAATCAAAAGCGGATCAGTTAAAGATAAAGAAAATGATATGGCAATTCGTGGTTTCTTTGTATTCAGTAAATGAAGAAAGAATAAGAAAGTAATAATTATCCTTTGTGTTCCCTTACAATATCGAGATTATTGCTTTTGCCAATCCCAGGTATTATTATCCTCGTAATATTTTATATTGTCCAAGAAACTGCCTGAACATTACTTAACTGTTGTCATTGCAATTGGCAAACAGTTTTCTTATTTACTACATGAAAATCTAATCAGAGTTATTGTGGTACAATTTGGTAACTGTACTATTTTGAAAAAAAAACATTCTAATATGTATTTCCTGTATTTCAATTATGTTTAATGAATATCATATACATTTTTTAGCGATGCGGCCAAACAAAATTTAATTTATTGGTGTGTGGCTAATCCGCAACAACTGTACTAGAAACATATTCCTAACCAGAAAATAATGTATATGATGTGGCGTGGATTATCTGAGTTTGGAATTATTTTTTCAATGCTACTAACGGTTACCTTCATACCATTATGGCGTCAGATATATACTCTGTGAAGTTTTAAAAAAATATTAATACAAGGTGTCATTTTTCACAACCTGATGTCAATAGGGCCGTTGATATGGTCCAAGCTGACTTGCATCTAGTCGATGTTGCTACAGAATTAGGAGTAAACCAAAGCGTTGTTATTAGGCTTTGCAATCCGTTTCTGGAAACTGATTCTGTACAAGAACGGCCCAGAAGAGGTCGACCTCGGACTACAACACCACGACAAGATAGTTATCCTCGACTTATAATAAGAGGAATCCTACCCTTTACACTTCTCAAGTAAGAAGCACCTTATGTGCAGCATATGGAATTACAATAAGTATCCAATCAGTATACAACAGATTTAGTGTTTGGCCTGTTAGTCACCTTTCATATCGAGCCCTTTGGTTAAGTCCAGCTGACCATGCAGCCCGTTTAAGATGGGCAAGGGATCATCAAAACTGGGATATGGAATGGAGTTAAGTTTTATTCAGTAATGAGACTAGTTTCGGCTTGCACAGCGATAATTGACATCTACGAGTTTGGAGAATGTCAGGGGACAGATACATTCAAAGATTTATCCAACTCACGATAGCTTTTAGAGGAGGCAGTATTATGGTATGGGAAGGAATATGTGTTGGAGGACCGATCTGTACATCCACAGTAAGACCATGACTGGACAAATGTATACCAATGTCAGTAACATTGTGACGACTTTTCAAGCTGCTATTGCCGAAATTTTAATTTTTACTGATGATAATGCTGGCCTATATCATACTCAGCAAGTATTCAACGTTCTTGAAACTCATGAAATTGATCACGATCGTCTTCCATCGCGATCTCCTGACTGAAATCCCATTGAACATGTGTGGAAACCGACTCCAGATGACATTAGGCTGCTACCAGTATTCTTTCTATTTTATGGGCACAAATCCCACAAGATGTGATCGACAAAGTCATCACAAGCATGTTCAGACGTATATTAGAAGTAATTAGAGTGCGAGGCCAAAATACTAGGTATTGATGACAGATTTAGGACATCGTTGGTTTCCCACGGCTAAACACTTCTTAAACTAAAATTTTTTTTTTCGTTTTTTTCATAATCAAATTATACACAAAGGTTAATAATCCCCACCATAATGAAATTTTTTTTAGACTCCTTTCATGAAAATATGAAATATCCTTAACTTTCTGTGCAGGGTATGATTTCTAGAAATATCTTTGAGATAAATATTAATCGGTAGGTACCTTGTTCTACTAAAAAAATTGTCTCAGATCACCGGAGGTTTACGAGCATTAAGATACCTAGAAATGAAAGCACAACCGCGTGTCCTCTAGGCAAACTGTAATTCTAACTTCAGTATAGAAGGGTTTGTCAGAGTTTAGGAGTAAGTATTCATCCAGTCAGTAGAGACAAAAAGGTCTTTTGCCTTACAAAAGGTGGGGCAGAAATCATTTTGATATATGTTGTTTGGGTCGGGACCCTGATGATAAAATCAGGTGCGAGCCACCATCTTTAATGAAAGGTGCAAAAAAAATTGTTTTTTCAAAATAATTTCCTTACATTATTTGTATATAATTTTTTTTTTGTAAGTCTAATATGTAATGAGTTACAGCGGCGGAAATATGAACGTTTTCCAAAAAACTGTTAAACTCCATTTTTGTTGGTAAATTCTGTAAGAACAAATTACACTATATTATTTTTAACATTTTTCCACACCACAATAAGGTTATATAATGAAATCTATTTTAAATTACAGTGATTTTCTTGTTACATATACATTTTCTTACATCCGCTCCGCCGAAAATTAGTACAGAATATTAATATCAGTGTATGGATGTTTTATTCTGTTTTTTTTTTTATAGCAGATCTTTCCTAGAGACATATAGACCGTCTCTCGTCTTCCTTTGTTTCTTTTGTAACGGTCGAAAATGTGTCTCTTTCTCCCCTTTTTAGAGAGAGCGGCACGCAGCATACCACGCGCTTGCAGTCCTGGTTTAACACACACAGGATCAGTGACCAGTGTCGTTAACCCTACCGATTCTTCGGTAGATCTATCGATTTTCAATGAATTCTACTGATCTACCGATCCACACACATATCCTACCGAAAAGCTAATAGAAACTAGAAATTTAAAGACTGACCTATTTGAAAAATACCTCACATTAATTGGAATCTGCTTTACAGTTTACAGAGACCTGCATTCGCAACTATGCATACATTTGTAATTGTATAAGTCGCCCCATGTCGAAAAGGAGAAAAAAGTAATAATATAATCGCGAAATTAGAACATCTGTAGATTAGGCCTATCGGGGATGCCACAATAAAAAAAAACGCGCCATATACTCTAATGGTGGGTGGAAATGAGTTCACTTTGAGTTTACAAAATTATTAGTGTTATGGAATGTAGTCAGACGGAATAAAAAACAACAAAAATGAAGTTTGACGATTTTTTGGAAAATGTTTATCTTAAAAATGTAAGGAATTTTGTCTTCTTTAAGTTTGTCCTTGACATTTTTGTCGTTGGTTCAACCATTGCGGAGTTATTTTGGAAAAACCAATTTTTTGCGCAACGTACTGAAGTACGTTTAGTTAGTTGTTTATTTTTTAACTCCATTGAAAATTATATTGGGGAAAATGCAAATGATTCCTTTTGGGGTTTTACGAATTTGAACAATCTGTACATTGAAAATTACAAATTTTGGTTGCATTATAACTTGTTTATAAATAGAAAAGTGCTAAATTTATTAAAATAATTTCATAAATTAACACTATTGTTTCAACTACAACGTAGATTTAACAAAAATTTTTTTACTTTTTTTATCTCATAACTTCATGAAACCAAAAATACAGTTGCATTTTAGATCTTACTGAAATCCATTGTGTTGAATGTATTGAAGTCCTAAGCTTTGCCAACAATGCAACCATTGTGTCGGTAAATTACATATCAACTGTGGTTTCAACAGTCACTCGGCAACTCAATTAGTCCTTCCTAATTAACATTAATATTTTCGCTTGGACTCTTATACCATCCTCAATTAATCACTTGAACGTTATAATTCTCGGTAGTTCGTCGATTTATCTTCTTGAAGTCATTTATTTATAATCATAAAAAAAGTACCTACTTGAAATACCTAGTCTAAATAAAATAAAGCAGCCTTGTAATCATTTTGATGAAAATAAAGAAAAGACATATGCGTTAAGAATTATTTAAATATGGTTAATTTTTGCACACTCACCCAAGGGGCATTTTTGATCATTTATAAATCAATTACGTCCATGTCCAACATATCAAAACAACTTCATAAGGTACATTTTTAATTGCATAATATGATGTTAAACAAGCTGCAACGCTAAGCAGTCAGTACTCTAGCTGATAAAATGATCAAAATGAGAAAATTCAAGTAAAGTTATATCAATGGATATAAGCTGCCGAAATAATGAAAACAGATAGCAACCCGTGGTCAAATGACATCGCTGCCAATGTCGTTTCATAGTGAAAATGTACAACACTGTTAAGATTTATACAGTCCTGGAGTGAGTTGGAATTTTCCATGTGAAGATAACACTGACGTAGTTTTCCACGAAACACCAAAACACTATACATATACTACACTCGACGCGCATTTCGACATCCAAGTTGGCATCATCTGAAGATGATTAAAACTAACCTTATGCAACAATGTATCCTATTTATATCTAAACGATTGTCACGGTTTGGTGAACCGTGACCCACTAACCAATAAAGCGGGCTATTTGAGTTTGGCCCTCTGTCACTATCCATACTATTTTTACACTTTGTGATTTCCAAGTTTTCAAACGCATCCAGCTGTCTAGTATTACATTCTTAATTAATCTTAAATTGCTAATATCTATTTTATGGTTGTTCTCAAACGCATGTTGGGCAACACTAGACTTATCTGTTCTACCATATTTGAGATGGGCCATATGCTCTTTTAATCTAGTTTGAATTGATCGTCTAGTTTGTCCAACATACTTTTGATTACAGTCCTTACAGCTAATTTCGTAAATCCCCAACTTTTCGTTAGTTTCAATTTTGTCTTTTGGATTGCCTAAAAGCTGTAGTTTATTTCCCGATGAATGAACCACTGTCATATCTATATTTTTAAAAATATATCAGCCTTCAACCTCTTTTGAAAAATTAAATTCATTGTTCTAAACGCATTTACAGGGAA